TATTAATTAGTCTATACGAAAATCATATAATATCAAAGGCTTTTAATATTTTTTATATTGTGAAAATTATTTTTTTATAATAGATATATAATTTAATCTTACTCAAGGAGTATGTGAATTTTATATATTATTTATAATCTACGTTTTTTTTTGTGGTTGTATTATTTTATTTTTTTTTAATCTCAAAAGCATCATACCTGGCCACCGCTGCGTTTGCAAGAGAAATTGTCGCACTCGCAGTATTTCCCGTAAAACATCTCATGCGGATTCGGTCGTTTATCGCAGTCGCAGACGTCACATTTGCATGTACCGTGTCCACTACAAATCTCCGCAGTTTGGTTATCAGGTTTGCAGTCGGCCATCGAGATCGAATCGCCAGCATCGATCTCGTTTCCCTCGCACTCGCATTGCTTTCCGTAAAAACCGGGATTACAGGAACACACGCCGCACACTGATTTGCCGTTATTCTTACATTCCGCAGCGTTCAATCGATATCCCTATTTCCCGGTTTGTAAAACGATTAGTATTGTGCAAATTTGATTAATTATATCAGTGCATATATATTATATATTTTTGTAAACATATTAAATTAAATCTTGTGTGTATTAGCTAACACAAATAGATTTCTCTCTACTATTATTTTTTTTAATTAAGAGTTTTTTATATTATAATATATGTAATACCGGATGCCCAGGTTTCTCACAAGGACAATCGCATATGATTTCTATATCGATAGTCAAACTCTCATTCAAGCCTCTGGGTTTAATCTCCACGGTTTGCTGCCAATCTTTCGGATCTTTGGGGCATTCAACAACCTGATGATCGAATCAATAATATAAGCGCTTGCTGATTAACCAAGATATTCGCGCGTTAGCTAATTCATATACCTTGATCACAACTTCAAACTCAATAACATTGCCTACACGAAGTCCTTCGCATTCTTGACGTTCTAGCAATTCACCCGTTTTGTTTAAACATCGGGAGAAATATTTAATATTGATTATCTTTGGTGCTGTATCGATTATCGTCACTGAGTCTACTAGTTTCTGCAAATTATTAACATATCAAATTATTATTGATTTTTTAGCTACCGTATAAATATAAAATGAGTAGATGTTCTGAAAGGAGTAAACTCAAGTTATTAATGAATTTTCTATTAGCTTTTCTGGATTATTACACGAATTGAAATACGTAGCGTAGCAAAACTAATTATATATATTTAAATTAATAATTATATAAAAAAATATATATACATTTTTATTATTTCTAACAAGTATATTAAGATCACCTCGTATTCATTGCTCACTAAGGCGACGACGTTCTGCGATTCGTTTTCCAAAGTGCCTGTTGACGAACCACTGATACTTTGACTCAATCGTTGGTAGGTCGCAATTTTGTGATCAGGAACGGCAAAAATAATGTTCATGTTATGTTCGCGCGCTTTCCTATTTAGCTAGAGGGACAAACATATTATTTCGAATTATTTAAGTTTATATTTTTATAAGTCTTTTTTTTTCTTAAAAAACAATTTTTTTTTTTTTATTCACTTGAGAGATTGACGGATAATCCTGTAGAAGAGAATGGCTATAGAATCCTTTCTCATCCAAATGGCACATGCAATCGTTGGGCTCTATTATTCCTGCAAGCTGAGAAACCGTAATTTTTTTTAAGTTGCAATGGTCGATTTATTTCGGTACGTTATCGTTCGAAGTCGCCGAGGGTTTTGCATGATTCACAATCACGTACTTTACCGTCTCCGGCGACGTGAAAGACCGCGTCGGTCGAGAACACGATAAGGTGACGCGCTTTTTGGCGCCAGCCGATTTCCTTGGTACACACGATAACCTGCATCATCGCATCGAACCCGCCTTCAGGACCGTCCAAATTACCTGACACCGGTGCCGCTTGTACCTGATCCTAATTTGTTAAATGATTGTATTTGAGATTGAATATTTGAAACACAAAAACTTGACAGATTGAATAGTTTAACTTTTAATAGTTTAATTAATAGTCAGATTTTGTTTCCAATTTTTCTTCTTTTCAAGAAATATATTCTTTGTTTATTTAATTTTTTGTTTTGTTTATTTAATTTTTTGTTTTGTTTATTTATTACTATTCTATATTTATTTATTTATGATTTTGAAAAAAAACGCGTTTATATATATACTTGTTTATTATGTCGATTATTTTAAGTTATCTATTAGAAATTTGTTTTTAAATTCTTTTTCACTGTCTGTCAAATACAATTTCATATAATTACCTCAAATAGAGATACGTTTTCCGTAAGAGACATCTGATTTTTATAGTTATAAGGCGGCGCACATGGGTTTCCAGTTTTCAAAGTGCAGGGAGATATCAATCTAATGTAAAAATTTAATCAGATTATAAATGCATCTCTTATCAATGATATTATTTTGTATTGTTACAATAAAAATTTCAATTTGTAATTATTTTGTTTATTTGATCGAAATATTATAATGATTTATATTTATATAATAAATGATATAATTACTTGTCAGGTTGCGTGTTGGTCATCGGTAAAACGACCTTGTCTATAAAACTGCCAAAGCCGATACGGAAATTCGACGTGAGTTTTTGCATAGCTTTAGCCAATTGCAGCCCGAGTTTCGATAATTTATCTCTGTACGGTTCCATAGACGCGGACAGATCCATAAGATAATATAGATCCACAGGATAATCCTCTGCTTGACTGTATTTCAGAATCACGCGATAATCCTCTCCTATTAATAATTTATGTAATATTCTAATAGAATATAATTTTTATTGCTCTTATAAAATTTCGAGTAAACTATGATTATAGTGAAAGAAATATACATTGGATATTAAATATTATAAAAAACATACAAGAGTGCACAACTTTATAGTATAGTAATTATATTTCATTATGAGTATATATTGTGTGTATGTGAATGTCTTACATTCTGTAATAATAATCAATATTGTTGTCGTTTTTAAAAGAATTTTTTTCTGCCTATAATATTAGAATACTATCATATTTCGCAGAGAAATTAGAGATAAAACGCGTAAAAGATAAAACCTTTGCGCAGGAAATTTTTCTCTCACCTCGCCTGAGACGTAAACGTATCTTTTGTGGTTGAACTTGGACAGGATCTTTACCCTTGATCGAAGACAACGGCCAATTCTCGAGAATGTCCATCGTATTCTCGTGATGTATTACGTCTGATAGTGGGCACCAGAGATGGCCTTCTCTCAAAAACGTCTGTTTGGATACACAACGCAGCAAAGGACTGCTTGCATTCTGTCCAGATACCTTGCGAAGTCACGAACACAAAATTAGTCTTATCGACCACATTACAGGTTGAAACGTTCAAGTTAAAAAAGCTTAGAAATATTGCACAAAATAGAATTTATCGATGATCTTTCCAAATATCTTGAATTTAATAATTCTTTTTCACATTTGACACATGAAGAAATTTTATTTGATCTATGATCATTCTTTTTACCGGATGATTACAATTAACATATATTTCCGGCATAGAAAACTAGTAAGTTCCTTACAGAGAAAAAAAAAAATATTGAAAAAAATCTCTTCAATGAAATTTTTTTTTGAATTTCAGCTTTTAAGTTTAAATACTTTAAAATTATAAATAATTGTTAATATTATTTTGAGAGATAATTTTTTATGCGTTAAAGATAAATCTTTTTCGCCGAAATTGCATACATATCAATTATACTGTTGTGTAAGTAGTATGGCTCCGAAAACATTATTGCAAACATTCGATAATTAATAATTAATGTCATATGAATTTTATTTTATAAATTTTGATCAAATTATTCTCTCTCATCAAATCAAATAAGCTTTAATCTTTTTTCTATTTCTTATTATAATATGTACGAATGTGAATTTTTATTCTATATATAATGTAATAAATTACAACAAAATAATATTATAATACAGATATTTCACAGATAAATCTCGTTTTTCTCTCATAAAAAGCCTTGGATTTGTATAGGCCTCACATATTTTAAAAATGACATTTCTTCTCTGGATACTATTTAGCCGTCAAAAGATTGATAAAAAAACATTCTCATGCTAAGCGCTTGCGAGTACGAAATAGTCATGCGGTGCAATCGCGTGAGTTCATTCATGAATCACCAGTGAAAGAACGACGGTTCCGAAAAGAGGATTGTCGCACAGGTGCTCGCGTCCGATGTTTCTTCTCGTAGACTCACGTATAACCGTCACTTCGTTCGTCTGTAGCGGGGTCTGCTTCTTTTTTAACGGCGTTTATAATCATAAATATTCATTACCATCGTGGAACACCACACGCATCGCGGCATTTGTAGGCAGCTCGCGCAGGTCTGTTGGAACTCGCAGAGGTTCTCTCGATCCCGATGCTGCGAGGATGCGAGTACGAAGAGTCGCGTCATCAGGAAAAGAAAGACGGCCGTCGTCCACTGTGTCATTATTTCGCCGTTAACGCCGACGTACGGCGAAAGTGAGGTGCGGACGACGAGACGAGAGCCGCGGCACCAACGCCCGCGATTCACGAAAGGATACTGCGGTATCCCGCGGAAATGACTCCGTGATAAAACCGTGATCATAATGCGTCATTAGGTAATCACGTTCGTTCGTTTTCTCCTCCTCGATGACAATTCTTCTGCGATCGGATCCGCCGAAGCACGAGATTTATCGTGTATATGTTGAAAATTTAACTTAATTGGAAATTTAATTAAAATCTACACACAGAAAAATACATACTATATACATGCCGTTTGTGCGAAATGTCAAAGTGCTAAAAAACTTGAAATGACAGTATTTCTAGCATAATGCAACTTGTCTATACCTTTACTAATTTTGTGTATTGTTTTGTCCTTTTTTTTTTTAGTATAGCCGTTTGTGCGAAATGTCAAAGTGCTAATAAAAAACTTGAAATTACAGTATTTCTAGCATAATGCAACTTGTCTATACCTTTACTAATTTTGTGTATTGTTTTGTCCTTTTTTTTTTTAGTATATACGAGATTTTTACAATGAGGATCCTGAGTCATATAACAATGAGATACATCAATTGGAAAGCTTACGCTCGATGGCGGTTAGGCCGCCCGTCGATATGGCCGGCTGTGTGCTGCTGAAAAAGTACTACAGCCAGTTGCATTTTCTTCAGAGTAGGTTTCCCATGAACAAGGATGGTCCCGCCGCAGTTACATTTACATGGTATAGAATTAAATTTTTCTTGCGTTATAATATTTTAGTTATGTGTAATTGTATAACAGAGGTGTTTAAGATTTAATTCAATTATATACATGGATTTATATAACTGTAAATTTTGTCGATGTGAATTGTGCGATATTTTCTTAGGAGGGACACTTATGCGAATATGGTGTGTTCATTGGCTAATATTCGTTTTGAAATGATATCCATTTTATACAATATTGGCGCAATACATAGCCAATTAGGCGCACGCACAGAAAGAAACAGTGGGGATGGAATGAAGATGGCATGTAGTCATTTCCAATGTGCAGCATGGGCTTTTGAACATTTGAAGACTAGTTATGCCCAAACATTTGGCATGGATCTAGCGCCAGAATTAATGACTTTTATGCACCAGCTTTGCTTAGCACAAGCTCAAGAATGCATATTGCAAAAGAGTATGTTGGATAATCGTAAGCCAACAATTGTAGGTATGTGTTGTCAGTTATATTAATCAATTTTAATAGTAATTGTTTAGTTTTGTTTGTCACTGTAAAATATATATATTGTGCAGCAAAAGTTGCAAAGCAAATAGTAGATTATTTTACTATGGCGCTAAACACATTGGAGCAAGGTGGAAGTGAAGATGGAACTGTATCTGACACAGTGGGTACCAAAATTTATAAAGTAAGTGAGATTTATAATTTTTATATTTATTATTTCATACACAATTTTGTAAATACAAGAATATTTTGTAGATCAATAAAATTAATAACTTATCATAAATTTTTGCAGAGCTGGAAACGTTATGTCAAGTTTAAAAAAGCGTATCACTCTGCCATTACATATCTTTATCAAGGCCTCACAGCTGAGGAACAAAGGAAAATGGGAGAACGAGTAGCTTTTTATAATGCTGCATTAACATCCCTTAATGAAGCCCATGCAATTTATGATTTTGCAAATATTAAAGAAGAAAAAGCTGCAGTGGAAGAAGCACTCACGTTTACAAATGATGTAATAGAAGGCAAAAGAAAAGCTGCTAAAAATGAAAACGAATTTATCTATCATGAGGAAGTGCCAGAAAAAGAAATCCTTCCTATAGTGAAAGGCGCTTCTTTAGTTAAAGGAATATCATTTAATGTAAATGATCCAGAAATATCAGGACAAGATATATTTGCAAGGTAATTATATTTTATACATTTAGTTTTTTTTTTTTTATGCAACATATTTCGATTTTATTTTATTAAGATAAAAATATAAATAAAATTTTTTTTTTTTATTGTAACTTTTTCTTTCCTTATTTTTACTGTGGTTGAATATATTATTATAGATTGATCTCTTAATATGTGAATTATTATAACATTTATTTTGTTTTTATAGATTAGTTCCTATGAAAGTGCACGAAGCTAGTTCTCTCTATTCAGAGGAAAAAGCCAAAATATTACGCTATATTGGAGCAAAAATCGAGGAAAAGGATCAATATCTTAACACTTATCTTACATCCTTGAAATTGGAACATATGAATTTATGGGATCCCGATAGCACGCAAACTTCAGAATGGGAATGCTTACCTCTTCCAGAAGAATTAGTCGAACGATGCGCTGCGCTTAATGCAAAACAACATGTCATTGAGGATTTAGTAGATATAATGGGAAAATTATCTGAAACAAGCCAAGATGTTGAAAGTGTATTAAAGGAAATATCGAAACTTTTATTGGATGAGGAACAGAAGTATGAAATTAATCATCTCTTTCGATTTTTTTGAAAACTTTAAACCATTGATGTTTCTCTTTCTTTCATTTACATAACAATAATCACAAAATGTTACTAATGAATTTGTGATCTTTCATAGAGAAAAACAATACCAAGATGCAGTAGGTAAAAGACCACCATCAATAGTAGCAACAGATTTGACTAGAGAAGCTAAGAAATATGAAGAAGCACATAACAAAGCTTCAGAGAGTAATCAGGCTCTGCACAAAGCAATAACAATGCATGTAAAGAACTTAAAAATTCTAGCTCAACCATTGGCTGATTTAATGGCGCATATTCCTTCACCAAGTATATACCTTTCAGGTATCTTTATAATACAGAATTTACATTGGTTTTTTATATTTATGTTTAATATATTGTATAAAATAATTATAATAGTTTACATAACTTATTGAAATCATATTTATAACACATACACATATATATTCTTGTTATGTTTGATACAGATCAAAGTTCCGAAAAATCACAAAATGCGAAGGAAATAGAAAAAATGCATACTAAAGAACTGAAACGTATATTAAATAAAGTAGACGAAATGCGGATGCAGAGACTTGAATTGCACAGCAAACTACGAGACCAAATCGCTCAAGACGATTTAACACGCTTACTAGTCACAGCTACTTCTGAATCTGCTCCTTTGGATCGTATATTTGCACCTCAGCTTAGCAAGCATCAGAGTTTGGTTAGTAAAAAAATTTTATGCGAAATATTTTGTATCTTTTAATATATAACAAATTAAATAAAACACAATTTAATATTGGATTGCAGGTAAATTTAATAGAACAGAATCTTGCTGCACAAGATAACATATTAGCAGCATTAACGGATGTATATGCACAGACTGCTAATATAAGAAAGAATGTCGAGGAGATATTAAAACGTAGAGAAATGATGATATCCTCCTTGATCAATTCTTATGACGCATATGAGGATTTATTAGCAAAATCAAGTAAAGGTTTAGAATTCTACAGAAAATTAGAAATAAATGTTACAAAATTATTGCAACGAGTTAAAAGTACATGTAAGGTACAAGAAGAAGAACGGGAACAAATACTTGCACAGGATAGCAAAAATACATATGAGAAGACTGATGCGACAATACCGTCGACCTACGATCAAGGACGTATTCGATCTAATAATGGCCTCAAGTTAAAGGATTATTTGAACAGCAGAGTGGAAGGCGGTACTGGTTATCAAAATCCGTATTACAACTTATACAAAGGACATACTGCAACATTGCAAATGGATTCAGTGTCAAAGTCATTGGTAAGTGACACAGGAAACAAGAATGTAATTCAATCTCCAAGTACAATACCTGTATCGGAAATTCCGTCTTCGTCTACGAGATCGTCGCAACACTACTATCCTACAACATATACCGATTATAGAATAAGTTCTTCCCCGTATCCATACAATGCTCAGACTTATTATGAAAATCCGATTGCCCTAAATCAGAGCTCTTTGCCGACCACTAATACAAACGCTACGGGTGTCTATCAACAACCAGGTTTATCTGCAACTACTACAGATGTATCTAATTCAAGTATGCAATATCCTGCAAATTCTTATCTATCGAATGGACAAACACTACCTGCATCTATTACCACACAAGAGAAATTCCGTGGTGTCGCACATACCAGTTACAATGTTTCCAATACTACTTTGCAATACGACGCTTATCAATCTCCAGCGGGTTATAATAGTTACAACGTTGCAACACCGTATGTTCCTAATCAAGAAAAAGCTGCGATTAAAAGTGAAATAACCAAGGTATCTTCGCAAGTTCAACCAGTATCTGCAAAAGTGCCCGTTTCTACGATAAGTGCGGCTGTAAACAGTACTATGTCGACAGACGATCAGTGGCAAGTTTCTTATAGCGTTGCGCAACAACCTCAGCAATATGATAATCAACAGAAGACAACTTTAAGCCAAGATATATCTCATGGTGGTCAAAACATAGCTGTCAGACCTCAGCAGACGCTGTCGACGAAGGATAATACGCTCACACAAAACTATTCGCTCCCTCAAACCGGCCATACTGAAATGACATATCTGCAAAATTACCATCAGAATAATACCTATTACAATCCAGCAGAGCTACAAACCCAGCGAGTCCCATACACTCACAGCACGTACGACACAACTGTTGTTCCTCCGACACAATATGTGCAATCGCAGCTACCAAGTACGAACAATCATCAATCTATACACTCCGTAACATCAGCGAGCGAAAATTCGACGGCGTATCCTTCGAATTTACACAGCATTAATTCTATTCAGTATTCGCAGCAGACGAGTACGGAACAGAGTAAACAGAATTATGCGGATAAAACTTACGCTGCTTACGGTACACAAGTGCAAATGAACGCTGTCGCTCCAAATTATCCGAGTACTTATCAAACTTATCAGCACGGCACTGCTGGTACACCATATCAACAACAAAGTAGCATGTTATCCGGAGACACATCTAATGCGTACGCTTATTTAAGTAACTCGAGTAGCTCGGAGATAATACAGAGCCACGCGAAACCAACGACGGTGCAGAGTTACTCGCAGTCGTATCAATATCCGCAGCAAGTTCCTTATTCGGGATACGTACAATATCCAAATTATTCGCAAAGTCAAAATTATAATTACATGCAAAACGCTCATGGAACAAACACAATGGCATACACATATAATCCTCCTGCTAATCAGGCGCAAGGATATGCTTATGCATCTAATCTGCAAAATACACAGACTTCTCAACCGTCTCAGGAGGCAACGGTTTCGACAACGTCCTCCGATGTAACGGCTGGTAGCATTTATCATCAACAGCAAGAGACGAATGCGAGATACACAAACGCGGGCAATAATGCTGTGGTCAGCCAAACACAATCATCGCAATACAATCAAGTTTATCAGTCTCAAACGGAAAGCGACACATATTATAGTACGCCTTATGGTCTTCAAATGCAGGGTCAAAGTATGTTATATATTTTTCGCTAATATCGAGACATTATACGTTCTTACGCTACTTAATTCGTTTTCTTTCAGCTAATACGATTACAAGACCAGAAAATTACACTAATTACAATCAAACATACATGCAAGCCGTCAATAATGGAACGAACACAACAACGAGCGCAAATCCGATGAAACTTACGACCAAATCTGAGGAAGCGAAATCAAATGTCGATCTTCTCGCCGATCTCGATATTACTATAAATCATGCACCACTTGTGCCGGAAGTACGACCTCTTGCAACAATACAGAAAAAAGAAGAAACGGTAACGGGCGATATTGCGGAAGATGTTAAGACAGAAAAAAGCGAGCAAGAGAAACCCCATAATACTGAACAAGAAGCAACAACTTCCTGCGAAGACAAAAGTGACCATGAGAACTTACAAATTGTATGGGATACATGGTACAATGACGTTCAACCGAAAAAAGATCCTTTAGGAGAACCGGCAGCGTTACAAAAGTTCATCAATGATGTTGAGAAATATGAAAAATTTGTAGATAGTTTACTCGTAAAAACTCTAAGCGGAGCTACAAACCTTGATATTAAATGGAAAGAAGTTCAAGACTATGAAGTAAGTTTAAAATCTATCTATCCATATTTATATTAGTCAAGTCACCTATGTCAAGCAAAAATATATTTGCAACAACATATATAAAAATATGTACCAATTTATATAAAACGGTTTTTGTTTTTTTTTAGGAGCGAGAAAATGGCAAACAATCAAGTACTGTAGCATTAGCTCATTCGTCCGAAAATCGAGCGGTCGATTGTATTCCATATGATACAACACGGGTGCAAATATCGTCCGCAGATGTTTCGTCTTACATAAATGCATCCCACATTATGGAAATCACGCAATGGATACCTACAGCGTTTATTATAACTCAAACACCTTTAACAAATAAATTGGACGTTTTTTGGACGATGATCTGGGAACAAGAGAGTGAAGTTATTGCATGTTTAGCATCTGATGCTCAGGTATGTATGTGGATAGAGATAATATATATTTTTATAGTGCAAAATTATATATAAAAAAATAAAAGAGACTAAAGAAAGAATAAAGAAATTATATATATTATTTTTTCACATAGGCTATATCGTATTTTTTTTTTATTATAAAAATT